AAATTCTGGTACTAGCCTTCCAAATATGAGAAATCCATAACCAAAATCTTTTTGTAATTTTATCTCATTTTTAAGTTCAAAAAGTTCAAACAAGAAAAATTCTGATATCAGGCTTTCACTTCCAAATATGAAGAGACATTTTTCAACCAAAACTTTTTGCAGTTAATTTTTGTTCAAACAAGAGTCTCTGAACTTTTATTCTCAAGCCAGAGACCTTTTTAGGTACAGTAGTATTCTAAACTGCACCGTTTTTGATGTTAGCTCAGGTTTTTCTGTGTTGCGTCGATTTTCCACGGATCTCAGCTGCGGATGCCTTGTGCTGGTTCTGGCGTCCGCCATTCTTAGCTTCTTAGCGGCTTCTGGAGCTTTTGAAACCATTCAGACTGCCTACTTTGCAGTCTACTAGGACACTATCTCCTGTGTCTCAGGTGTTTTCACTATATACATTAATAGACTCATACTTAACATTTACACTTTTTCACAAACTCACATATAACATTTTTTTGCCTTGCAAAGCATTTAGACTAATATTCAACATTTACACGTTTTTTACAAACTCACATAGAACATATTAACATCTACTTATTTATACTTTAAGGAAACTATAGAACTACTTTAGCAAATATATTTCTTATTAATTCTTATATACAACTAGTATCTTTACTTCTTACAAGCTTATTACTACATGTCTTAAGACTACCTTAGCTACTTCTTGCAAGCTTATATTCTTAAAGGAACTCTATAGATCTATTTTACAAACTTATATAGGGCTACCATTAGCATATATTTAACTTAGCAAACACCTAAAGCTTTCTTTTTTTTTTAATTTAAAAATTTGTTTTTATTTTTATGTATGTGTGTATGTATACATGCCGTGTGTGCAGGTGGCCATGGAGGCCAGAAGAAGGAATCTGAGCTGGAGTCATAGGCAGTTGTGAGTCACCCAATATGAGTGCTGAGAACCAAAGTTAGATGTTCTGGGAGGGCAGCAAACAAATGCACTTAAGTACTGAGCCATCTCTCCAGCCATTGGTATCACCTGGAATTTTAAAACCACACATGGAAGTCATCAAGGACAGGCTGACCGTGTTGGACAAGATGATGTGTTGGTATAAACAAGGACGGCTCTGTGTCCTCACAGTTGGAGGAGGTCCATTGTCAGGGCTCTGGCTGGGCTGACCATCAGTTCCAACA